GGAGGGGAGAGGAGAGGAGAGGGGAGAGGAGGGGAGGGGATTCTCTGCGCCTGCCTTTTGTCTTTTCAACCCTGCTTACAGCTGTGTGTCTGTGTCCTTTGTTCAATTCCTTTTTGTGTCTTGGGGTCTTTGCTCTCACCACTGTCACCCATTAATCCACCACCTTCTTTGATCGAACACATGATCTTGTCCTAATTGTTCGTCTCCTTGGACTGCCTCGATGAATCGAGGTCTGGTGTTCTGAGCTTGATCGATCCAGCTGTTGCGGGGAGGAGCGGTGAAATGGACATGAACGAAAGGGATGAATGCAGCTCGGAGAAGAATGAGCACCATTTGACTTACAGCAATGCTGGGTTTTCTTCTGGTTGGCAATTCCGGAACCCATCGGTAGGCATCGTTCCCGGTGACCAGAGAGGTTCCATGGAGGACTCCTTCAATCCCAGCCTCTGGAAGCTGTGTGAGAGTGATATGCCTGCCATTGCCAAACCAGTTCCTGCGACTTCAAGGTTCGACGACGGCTGGACTCCTTCAGATTCATCGTCCCGAGGAGGAACCTTCCTCCCGAGTGGCCCTCCGATCCTCACCCCAACCCTGTCGCACTTCCCGGCTGATTCGGCTTTCATCAAGCGAGCTGCGAGGTTCTCTTGCTTCAGTGCCGCAAGCTTGGGCAGCATGGCGACTCCTTTTGGCGCATCTCATTTGGCCGGTGCTCAGATTCACAACATCGATATCAACATGGCAAAAGATGCCTCGTTGCATGATGTTGAGCCTGGCGAAGCTGCTGTTCCCAGTGGGGTTGGGGGTGGGCATGAGAATGCAGATTCTTCCTCCAAAGACCTTGCTGCTAAGAAAAGAAGAAGATCCAGCGAGGTACTTGTCATCCAATTTCCATCGAGTTTTCATCTGTTCTTTGATCTTACCTTTCTTTGTTTTGCCTGCAACTGATTACAGGAGTTAGAAGCGGAGCGAGGAGACCCACAAATGGCTGCTGAAGCCAAGACGGAGAGTGTGGACACTGATCACAAGGCTGAGCAGAGCAGCTCCACTGCTAAGCCTAACGGGAAGCATGACAAGGATGCCTCAGAAGCACCAAAGGAGGACTACATCCATGTTCGAGCTCGGCGCGGCCAGGCAACGAACAGCCACAGTCTTGCAGAGAGAGTAAGGTTCTTGACACCATTGAAGGATGCATGTGTCTTGGGATGAACACACTCGTTTGATCTTTCAGCACGAGAAATGCCCTCACTCACTGCACACGGATTGAATGTTTATTTTCAGGTGAGAAGGGAGAAGATTAGCCAGAGGATGAAGCTCCTTCAGGAACTTGTTCCTGGTTGCAGCAAAGTAGGTCTCTCAACCTGACTCTCTCTCAAGAGTTGAGGTTTCTGAACCCTGTAAAAGATTCTTACTGCATTATAATGTTTGGCTTAGGTCACAGGAAAGGCAGTAATGCTTGATGAGATCATCAACTATGTTCAATCACTGCAGCAGCAGGTTGAGGTATGATTTCCATGGGTGATGTAAACTCTTAATTTCATCAGACAATTGATAGCTTGTTTGTTTGTGTGTGTTCCTCCTTGCAACAGTTCCTGTCGATGAAGCTTGCAGCTGTGAATCCAAGGCTGGACTTCAACATAGAATCACTTCTCTCAAAGGATGTATGTAACACAAGAACTAATCAGAATCACATCAACATGCATGTTTAGTCATCTGCACTCATGTTCTTGTTTCTGTGACACAGTTTCTTCAGTCTCATGGCGGGACTTCATCCGCGATTGGTTTCTCGCCTGATGCTGTTCATCCTCAAATGCATCTATCTCAACAAGGACTGGTGCAAGCTGAAATATCTGGCAATCTAAACCATCCAAATGCATTCAGAAGAGCAGTGAACTCGGTGAGTGTGTTGTCTTCAGATAATTCTTGCTTATCATTCCTTGAATATGTTTGGTTATATTAAATCAGAAACAATGGACAATTCAGATGGCTGTCCATTTTAGTTTCCATTAGGCTGAGATAGCTAATGATTCTTTGAGAACTCTCTCTCTCTCTAAAAAAAAAAAATATTCTCATGCAAACATTGGTAAGAAATAATAATTTCTACCATGAATTCCCAGTAATTGTGTGAAACTGCTTAGCATTCACTTGGAAACCTAATCTGTGACAAACCTTGCTTAATGTGGTTATAATTTCCTAACCTTATAAGAGGGCAGATCATGGCATCTCAAGCTGCATCGGCTTAATTTTGTAATAATACCATTTAATTCAGCTATTTTACTGCAACTTGCTCAACTTCATGCTGCTCTGATCCCTGTTAGTGTTAAGATGTATACATGTATACATTTAGAAAGATAAATTGATTGATATGCATTTCAATAAAATTTCTTGGATTTTATCTAGGAGAGTTTTCCTGATGTTCTATGATCTATCAGGTTTTGGACATCACATACTAACTTTTCTTGCTCCTGCACAGTAAAAATGGATCCATGACATTTTTATTCATTAGAAACTGGTAGAACATGATCAAATCAAACACCGTGGAAAGTTTTCTGAGTTGCTGATTCCGTCGAAAATGATAAGTAGCTAAATATGCTTTCTGATGTCAACAGAAGAAGTCGCATCGACCAGCGATGAATAGAACTGGTCATTCCCATAGTCCAGTATGAATGATACTTGTTTGCTCCAGCATTACCTAGCAGGACTCATCTCTCTGCTTCTTTGCAGATGCCCAATGCATGGGATGAACAGCTACAAAATGTCATGCAAATGGCTGCTTTCAGCAGCAACTCTCAGCAGCCAAGAACTCAATGATGCATCCCATCATAACCATGAAGCTATATAAATATAATTGATGTTTGCACTGCATGTCCTCATGTTGCCCCAAAATGGGCACAGAATCCCTGTAAAGCTGAGCCTTGACAACTGTGTTGGAGATGTTGGAATCTGATGCTGTTCTAAGAACATGGCAGAGTTCAGATGCTTGGAAGCTACAAGATTGACCACGATCAACACTTGGAGCAGAAGATGGATTCCTTGCTGGCAGATTTGAACCCATAGCAAGTGTCATTGAAGGGTCTCAAATCAGACTGCACAGAGATAATTAAATCATGGGGAAATTGGAAGCTTGCATTGGCAGAGAAATGGAGCAGAAGAGAGTTCATTTGAAGGTCTGTGACATCAGCCTTGAAGTGAGTCTTCACTTTCTTGTTCTTGAAATTAATGGTGGGAGATGGGAACTGTAAGCAGACCTTAAAATCTTTGCATTATGCATCCATGTTCTAAATGACTTTAGTGATCGGTTGTCTGTAGAAGCTAATCTTTGTGGTTTTTAGAAGTTATCTTTTTGACACCAAAGGCAAGTTCATACAAAAGGGGGTCTATAACGGCGATGATGAGCGGAAGAAGTTAAAAGAGACGTATAAAAAGAGGAAGAAGATAGATTATTCTTTGTAATTAGTTATCTTTAATTTTTTATATTTTTAAAAATTATCTTAAGATTTTTATATTTTAATTAACAACTTTGAAAGTAATTAATTAGCCTCTCAAATTTGAAAGTATTAAATGTAATTAATTAGCCTCTCAAATTATTATTATTTTACATAAATAAATTATTATTTATATAAGTTACAATCCAAATTTAATCTCATAGAGGTTGAATTATTTTAATAGTATCTTTTTCGGATCCATTTCAAAATAGTAAAATCACATGAGACTAATTATTATTATATTTAATATGAGTTTTAAGTTTGAGGTGTGAGATCCAGAGTTAAGAGAGATTATAAGGTAATATGAATTTGATTTTTTGATTATTTTTATCCTTCTTTATTGTCATACTTATGTGATTTATTGATGTCCATCAATATTTTTTAGAGATTTTTCAATATATAATAGTAATAATAACAATAAAATTGTAATCTCTAAGTTAGAATTTTAATTTGTAGTGGAAAGTAGTATTATAATTTTGTGTGTTTTCTGCAATTGATAAAAAATATATAATTACTAATAATTCGAGATTAAGTAATTTTTTTTATCGAATTAGCGTATAGATAAAAATATTAAATATTGTTCATACTATTTATCAATAAAAATCATATGCATGTATCAAATCTAATCTAATGATTGGAAAAGTAATGTTTCTGTGTGGGAGACTATGACTATTTCTCTGATTCAATCTCATGAGATTCAAAGTAAACTAATTAGAACTCTTTTTTCTAAAATAGAAAATAGAAAGTGATAAAATTAGATTTTTTTTGTTCCTTTTATTTTTATGATTTTATAGTTTTATTATAATAAAATTACATCATCATATTTCACATTTATTTGATCTTCTTATATTTAACGTACATAAATACAATATTTTTTATTTCCGGGAATATACTCTTATGATTAACAATAAAAGTCTAAAAAATTCATTTTATTGGTGAAAGGCTTTTTTGCTGCAATTACTCTTGTCCATATAAATCCCTCTAGAGCAACACTTTCCGTACCCGTTTATACGTTACCCGCCTTGTCTACGTGTAGAGGCATCTCAGGGTTGTGCGTGGGCCCATCTGACGAGCAATCTACCTCTTCAAGGTACCGATATGGGTACAATGTGTACATGTGAAAAAGTAATTCTTGAAATTACTCTTGCCCATATAAATTGCCCTAGTGGAGCGCTTCTGATACTCGTTTACGCTTACCCACCTCATCTACCTGTAGGAATACCGCGGGGTCGTCAATGGGCCCATCTGACGAGCCATCTACGTCATCAAGGTAGTGAGTGGGTGCGTGGTATGCATGTGAGAGAAGGAATTTTCAATGACTTTTTGGTGTTCATGTCCAGCCAACTCGAACTCATCTTGCCATATTGGGACGTGGAATGACGATATTAGCCTTCCCGTGGGTCGTAAATCGTTACATAAATAGAAGAAAACATGCCATTAAAGTAAGGGTTTAAATGTCAATTCATTAAAACTGCATTCCTACAATAAATAGAAGAATCACGGGTGAAAAAAGAAAGATCCATCGCTGAATTCTCTTCCCCTCGACGGGTTCCTACGACGGGTGGAGAGAAAGCTGCCTCCTTTTCCTCTCCGACGGCCTTAGAGCGACGGGAAATCCACGGATCTCGGGAGCTCTTCTTTGAGACAGCACGATTTCACGACAGTCCCGGTCTCCGAGCTGTGAAAATCTCATCTTTTCGCTTCCTCAGTGTTTTCTCCCCATTTCTTAGTCAAATCAGAGTCGAGCAATTACGAAACATCCACCTGAGGTCCCTCTGTAGACTGGGAAGGAGATAGGAAAGCCCTTATTTTTCTTCTTGGCTTTGGGCTGCGAGGTTCTGGGATTTGTTAGGTTCTATCCTTTCTGTACAATTTCTTCTGGTGATAATTGCTCCATAGATCGCAGCGTGAATTGCGGTCTTGTGTAGGTTGTCAATCGTTCCAGCACAAAATCGCTGCTGGAAACCCGTCGGGTTGTTGTTTTCGTTCTAAAAAAATGATCTTTTTCGGCTCTTCGATTGAAACCGTTCCATCGCCAGAATAAAACTTTCCGAAGCATTTGATCTCGACTCATAAAAAATCTGATATTGCGATAACAATGACTATTGGGAACTTTTCTCCCGTTGGTAACAATGGGCAGCGGAGGGGCAAAAGGATCCTCGAAGAGGAGGCTCCCCTGTTACCAAGCAAGCAGGAGGAAACTGGGGAGTCTGATGAGTTCAATGGAGCTTCCTTTGCTGGGGCTGTCTTTAACCTGTCTACTACCATAGTTGGAGCCGGGATTATGTCCCTGCCCGCCACCATGAAAGTCCTGGGGCTGGTTCCTGGGATCCTCCTTATCATATTCTTTGCTTTCTTCACGGAGGCATCGATCGACATGTTGACCAGGTTCAGCCGAGCTGGAAAAACAGTTTCATATGGAGGAGTTATGGGGGATGCATTTGGAAGGACCGGCAAGGTGCTGACTCAGTTATGTATTATCGTGAACAATGTCGGCGTGTTGATTGTATACATGATTATTATCGGTATGCTATCTGCCACATAGATTCTCTTAGTGTATTGTTCAACATATTGGTATTGGCAGGCTTCTTGATTAAGTTTCAGTTTCCAATTACCTGTCATAAGACCAGTTTTGATAAGCTCTAGAAGAAGCTGGATCTCAAGACCTTCAATTCTTGGCCACCTTTAATGTTATTTTGTGTTTTCGTGCGCGGTAGCTGTTACAGATATCGTAGTTTAAGTTAATTGATTTACTTTCATATACTGAGGTAAAGAGTGAAATGGTTTTGCCAGTGTATACACAGAATTTTGTATAAGAATGCTCGCTTTTTCTTTAGGTCTCATCAAGTATGAGAGCTATGTCAAAGGCTTCATGTCTTGAATTTTCCTTGGCAACCCTCTTTTCCTCGATGCCATTGTCTTGAAAAACATAGCTGAACAAATCATTGAAGTTTGTAGGTACCGGTTTCTGTTACGGTTTCATTCACTTCAAATGCTTTCAGATAATTTGCTCTAATATGTGTTTGCATAACTTGCTTCATCCATTTGTTGTTTGCCCTGTAAGCTTGAATCTCAAATGTGATTATGTTGCAAGGTGATGTGCTTTCTGGAACATCTTCTGGTGGCAACCACCACTTTGGTGTGTTGGAAGGATGGTTTGGACAACACTGGTGGACTGGCCGGTTTTTCATTCTTCTGGTTTCTATGCTGGCAGTGTTTGCTCCTTTGGCATGCTTCAAGCGCGTGGGTTAGCTCTTATACTAATCAAGGAGATTTCTCAGAAAGTCAAATTGTCATTTCTTTTTGCGTTTCTGCTTTTTTAATTTTTTTTTTAATTCAGAATGATGCTCACTGTACTATCTCTCTCCTGGCAGATTCGCTGAGGTTCACATCTGCCTTATCAGTTGCCCTTGCAGTTGTATTTGTCATAATTACAGCAGGAATTGCTATTGTGAAATTGTTGGCTGGAAGCATTGCAATGCCCAAGTTGTTTCCAGATATCCCGGATTTGGCATCTGTCTGGAACTTCTTCACAGTTGTCCCAGTTATTGTGACTGCTTATATCTGCCATTACAATGGTAAGGACACTGAAATTTCATCTAAAACTGTTCAAGAAAGGTCTTTTATTATCTGTCATGTGAAACTGTAGCTATCCCATGCTCAGCATTAACTATTTCTTTCCTATCTACATGATATTATCATTTATCAGGACTATGTTTCCTACTTAAAAGGTTACTGGTTCCTTTTACTCATTAAAGAATTGTATTCTTGTAGAGACTAAGAAATGTTTTCTCTCTTATACTGCAGTTCACCCTATAGAAAACGAACTTGAGGATCCTTCCCAGATAAAGCCCGTGGTGCGGACATCACTAGCACTTTGTTCCACAGTCTACTTAACCACGAGCTTCTTTGGTTTTCTACTCTTTGGTGAAGCCACACTTGATGACGTGCTGGCCAACTTTGACTCCAATCTCGGTATTCCATACAGCTCTGTTCTCAATGATGCGGTCAGAGTTAGCTATGCTGTGCACCTCATGCTTGTGTTCCCTATGATCTTCCATGCCCTCCGCCTCAATGTGGATGGCCTACTTTTTCCATCAGCCAGGCCTTTGTCTTCTGACAATCAGAGATTTGCTATAATTACGGCGGTGCTTCTGTCAGTTGTTTTCTTGGCTGCAAATTTTATTCCCAGCATATGGGATGCCTTTCAATTTACCGGTGCAACTGCCGCAGTTTGTATTGGGTTCATTTTTCCTGCTGCCATTACTCTCAGGTGAGTCCTAGCAATTCATAGTGGCAACGTCTCTTTGGCTGGTGGCATTGTCGTGTTCCAGTATGATTGTTGTTTCTTGAAATGTATATCTTTTGCTGGTTTATATTGAGTTGCGGGTCTTGAAGACAGCTTCAATCACACATGGGCATGGCCTCTTGGCATCTAAAAGAAGTCATGGGAAATTGATGAACTTCTATATAATTAGTTAATATTGTACTGTTAGATAAACAAGTTCTGCTAATGAGAGGTGAGCTGATAAGCAAGTCTGGGAGGATTTTTCTTAAGAGTAATTTGACATTTCCCTATGCCTTAGTCTTTCATAATAATTGTGTGCATCGAGTAGGCATGTGGCTCCAGACATAAAGTTGATGTGGATCCTAAATACAGTTTGCATGCATGAGGTATACAATAACAAGTTTGCACTTGATCCTATTAGATATTCAACAGAGCATGATTCATTTTATGCTTTCTTAACTCTTGTGCCTTCATAATATTTACTACCTCCTGAACTCTTTAAGTTTTCTTATCTTTGCTTCTCCTATTTCAGGGACCCTCATGGCATCGCAACAAAGTGGGATAAGATCGTGGCCATCTTCATGATCAGCCTTGCAGTACTGTCGAATGTCATTGCTATATACAGCGATGCATATGCTCTCTTTAATGAGAGCAAAGCCTCCCCACAGTCCTGAGATCTTCTTGTTTCCATAAGAGCGATGGTGGTATTGGCGGTTCTTGTATATGTGGGATGATTAAAATTGTTCTGAAGCAACGACTGCAATGCTGCAATCTTGTGTAAATTTGTTTTCTATCAGTAGTAGACAACTCAACATCTAGGTTGAATCATGTGCTGTATGTAATATATGAACAATTGCCTGAAGGAAGTTCTATGCTTCCTTCAGCATGAACAGGACCCTGTGCCCTGCAAATGTTTGTAATAAATATGAAACTGGACTTGGATGTTGTGTTTTAGATTCAGTTATTTGATTCATTTGCAGAGTTCACCTCTGAAACCTATTTGTCATGGCAATTTAGTTGAAACATCCCATTGAGCTCTTATCAAAAGCTTTGTTTGCTTGTTGATCATTCAATCATTCCAGTTATAACCAAGTCCAATTCTGCCCCTGTATTCATATGCTGAGCCTTAACCCCAATTCCCTGATGCAGTAAATTGTTGGCTGAGCCTAACCTATATGCTTTCACTAACTTTTGCAATACCCTTTTGATTCATCAGTAGGCATTGACAGCATAGCAATCAATAATGATACAACAGATATGCATTTTCCTCCAAGAAACCTTGCTGCAATTTCTGATGTTTCAGTTCAGTAGAAGTCTTCTTCTTCTGCTTTGAACACTTTGGCCTTGAGAGAGCAAGGTTGGTGGCTAGTTGTAGCCATCTTTTTTCTGTTCAGTAAGCTCTAAAGTACAGGAACTTGTGGCTCTGATCCTTACTGTCCTCAAGCTCCTTCTTCTGTCTATTGGCAGAAAACAAGGTTTCAAGAAGATTGAACTCTAGGCTTTGGATTAACAAAAAAGAAGAGAATGTTGTGTTGCTTGGTTTGATGTAAACCAATTAAGCTTTGCCTTGCATGATGATGGAAATATTCCCATGGAAGTGCAAGAATAATTAAGCTAAGTTGTGCTCAGAGCAATCTTGCAAAAAAAAAAAAATGAACAGCAGGAGACTAAAGTCCAACACTGCAAAGAATCAGATTCAACCTCATGTTTTTGAGTTACCCAAAGCACCAACTGGGAGAAAGATGTATTATAGTGCTAGGGAGTAGTTAAAAAAGGACTACTGAGCAGAGTCAGATCTTTGAAAGCTGAGTGTGTGTTGGGGAATCCTGCCTTTGTTTTACTGCTTTGGATACTCTCCTTCCATCACCATAAAAAACTTACATCCCTCTTTGTGTAACCTCTTCTCCTCTACTCTCTCTGGTCATGTGGTGCACAAGGTTCAGATTCCTTTCCCTTGTGCTTGTGATCTACTTGGTTTCTCTTGGTGACTCCCTTGCTACTGCCCACAGAGGTAGGTCATCTCTTCCCTTATCTTTGACTTGCCATGATTGATTGGAATCATATTTGCTTATTGAGATGCTCTTTTCTAGTGGTTGGGATGATTGAGAAGAATGATGATGATGCAAAGGGTGCCAAAAAGTTTGGACTTGAGATCACAGCTGCTCACAGTAAGTTCAAACTTTCTACCCAGAGTTAGCATGAGTCTCTTGAGCAAGGTTTGTTCCACAGGAACTTAGATGCACCATGGCAGTGAGGATAACCAGGAGCAAGTGGCCAAGGGGAAGGAAGATGAGTGCAGAAGGCTTGCAAGTAATGAGCACAGTTGGAACAGGTGCAGAAACTTCTGCAGGAAACTCTGCTTATGGAGGGAAGGGGAAGACTGTGAAGTGTGACTATGGCAGTCCTTTTATTCCTCCTCACTATCTCAATGCACTCAATCTTATGAGTTTGTGCCTGTATGAAATGGTTAAATTATTATCTATCTTTGTGTCCACCAAAGATGTCTTTTCTCTCATTCATCTGAAAAGGTTTGGAATCTAGGATTGCATAGAGAACATTTAATTTATTGAGAGCATTGTTTCAGTATATCAAATAATTTGAGTGTTGGCACATACTTTCTCCACATCTTTCTACCTTTATCTATCTTTTATTATGGAATCAGTGTAACAGATACACTCCTTTTGCCTAGGAAAAAAAGTAATAATTACCACACTCTAGTTGACTGGTTAGTCAATCCTGTAGCTAGAATATAATTTGATTATATGGCTATAATTGCACTGATCACAAAAGATTTCTTATTTCATTGTAAGTTCCTGGATTTCTTGATGCAGGACTGCCAAATATCACCCCAAAGAAGTCATTGGGCTCAACAACAAAACTGAATGACAAGGTCTCTCTCTCTCTCT